TTCCCTGCGGGCTACTGACCTGCTCAGCTCCTGCTCTAGTGACACCAAGGTGTGTTTGGGGGGAAGATTCTTTAGATCTGCAACTCAGGGACTTCTCACAGGAAAGAGAACGCATTTACCTGTGATTCTGTTGATGGAACTGGGACAGTTCTCTACAGCCATGACCGAAGTGCCTCATGCCACAGCCGTCTGCTAGGACAGGCGCGTCCACCAGGACGTGCAGTGCTTACTTGAAGAGTCTGTTCTGCCTCGAAGAGTTTGTTCCCTGCCTCCTCTCCATCCCACGAAGACAGATTGGGTGCCCAGTTGCTCACTCAAGCTGCAGGAAGCGTTTCCCCTGCACGGTGTCCCTGTCACTGCTAGAGAAGATATTTGTTTCCTGTTGAGTAGGTGGGAGTTACAGGACTCTGGGGCTGGGTTTTCTAAATTACAAACTAATAGGTCTGTGCCATAGCAGGAAGCCCAGCTCTAGACTGGGATAAGCCAAACTCACCGCTCTGTTAACAAAAGATGTTTCTGCATTTTCACCCGGTTGATTTTTGGAGATGAGGGGGGAAATGGGAAAATGGCTTCAAACTTTTTTATATTTCTGTTGAGAAGGTCTAAAGGGAAGATGCTACCTGTAAAACTCTGAGCACAACTAAAATAAATAAATACGGAGTCACACGTTTTCCTTGCCTGCACAGTTGCTGCAAAAAGGGATGGTGAGAGTCTGTGTGAAAGAAGCTCTTCTGAGACTTTTGTTTTTTCTTCACTGCTTTGATGAAGTCATGAGTAAGCAACAATAGTTAAATATCCAAAACAAACTTGTTTTTCTCCACTTTGCTTTTTATGATGTCATATTGCTGATGTGAAATTTCAGAGTTTGGGGAAATGAAATTTCTAAAAAAGATCACACTGCCGCTACTCTTGTTTAAAGGTAAGTTACTATAAACCAGACTTTTAAGGAGCTCTCAGAAATCCCTGTCTTTTATGGAGCAGCTGAGAGTATTTATACCTCCATGAGGGGGTTTGGTGCAGGACCAATACATCACATCACATAAACTTAGCCAAGATCAAACCCAGATGATCCAGGGGTTGTCATGCTCTAGTGGTGTTCTTGAAATCCTTGATACACAAGTGGCAGTAAGTTCTCTCATCTATTTGGCTTGTGGAAACTTCCTGTCAGTTTGTAAGGGCCTTAAAATACAGAAAAGAAAATGAAAGTCTGAGGTTTTAGGCATCATGCAGCCTCTTTCCTAGAAGTGTCTGGAGCTGAGGAGAGCCCAGTCTCACAGAATAAAGTGAGAGCTAGATGATGCTTAAATCAGAGTCATGGCTTTGACATACATGTTTGCTTATATCATTTGACCCAAAGCTTTTACCAAATGTGTCCTGGGTGTGCTCTGGCTCCTTTTCATGAGCTCTTCCAGGTGGTGCTGCTTTAGGTGCAGCAAAGGCAGTGACTGTAAATGACCTCTGCTCACTGTGTTCCCTCAAGAGACCAGTCTGGGCCCAAGCCTGTGTCCTCTTATTGCCAAACTAGGACTTTCACTTTTCCACTTCTTGTAATTTCACTCCTGGTGCTCCCCAGTGTCAGGCTGCCTTTGGAATTGGGACTAGCTGAGTTCTTTCTTGGCTAGGTGTGACCTGGGAAATCAAGGAAATTACTGCACAGCAAAATAAGCTTATTGGAATCTTACTGCAGTTAGTCCAAAATTGGAAGGGGATTTCTGGGAAGTGCCTGTTGGAAAATCCTGATTTCTGATACAGGTCTGAGTGGCTGCTGCTGGGCTGCATCTAACAGTTTGTGGTGTAGCACTTGTTCTTGTGTTCCTGAATTTCCTCTTGCTAGTCAGAAAATTCCCCTATTATTCATAACCTGTGTTAAAAAGCTTCCCCTGTGGAAAGCTTAAAACACTCCTGGTTACAACTGTTCTTACAAAATGCATTTGAATTCTTGGCTCTGCAGAAGTTGCTTTGTTTGGTTGTTTTTTAGCAGTAGGAAAAGCAAAGGAAGGAAGAAGAAGGAATTATTAAACTGGGCTACAGTTGCAGAGGAAGGATTTGTTAAACTGAGCCACAGCTTTCACTTACTCCCTATGTTTTTAAAAAGCTGTGGATACTTGTGCAAGCTGTAGTTATCTGCATCTCATATGGACATATCTGTACACAGAGCAGGCACTTCTGCCACCTGCTTGGAGACCACATGGGATGTTTCAACTGCAGGGAAAATCTTCAGGCTAGGATGAGAGGGAATGCCTTTAAACTGGAAGAGGGCACATTTAGGTTACATATTAAGATTATATTCTTGATTATGACAGCAGTGAGGCCCTGGCAGAGGTTTATCCAGAGAAACCCTGGCTGTGCCATGCCTGGAAATGCTCAAGGACAGGTTGGATGGCACTTGGAGCAGCTGGGTTTGGTGAGTGACATCCCTGTCCATGACAGGGGCAGAACAAGATGGTCCCTGAGGTCCCTCATCATTCCATGTCCCACCTCTTGGATCCTGGCTCTGCTCCTGGGGGCACACGGTGTGTTGGTGAGGGCTGCCTGCAACAGGACACTTTCCATGGCCGATTCCAGCTGATGTGAAAGGCAGCTGTGCCATTAAAAGGCAATTCAGATCATGAGCTGGAGGGTTCACCTCTTGCCCCTGTTCTTCACTCTGATTTTAGTACAAGTTTCTTTTGGCCCCCATCCAGCCTCTGCAAGGGAACAAAATTCAGCTGTGAGAGACAAGTGGCACAAGCTGCACCATTCCTCAGCTTCTCCAGCAGCATCTGAGCTCCAGAGTGAACAACTGGAGAAACACCTGCATGGAGTCCTCCTGTGCTTGTGTGATGGGGTAGGCAACAGGTTTAGAGGAGAAAATCCCAGACAGGTTTGAAAACACTTTATTAAAATATAACTCAAAGACTTCATTAGAAAATAGAGCAGCCTCTGCACAATGATGCTTTAAAAGTCCATGTATGTTGATTTCAGTACAAAAATAATGCTCTCTTGTTGGGAGGAGCAGGAATGTGGAGAGACCAAACTGAGAGGCTCTTAATCCATTCAGATTTCAGCAGCAGTGAGGAGGTGGAAGGGTAAGTGCAGAGGTGCCAGAGCAGGTACAATCTCAGCTTCACCAGGTATTCTGGAAGTCTCTGCTGTGCTGAGAGATCTGCACTCCCATTCCCCTCTGTCTTGCAAATTAAATCTGTGATGGGTTTTTAAACTGCTTCACTGGCTCACTTGCAAAGTTAATAGCAAAGCGGTCAAACTGCAGCGAGTGCTGGACTAAAGATAATATTGCCATGTCTTTGTGGTGGGAAGAAGCTGTGATATTGCTGCACTGGAAAGGTGACAGGCTGGAGTGCTGCAGGGTGCTTCACCCTAAGCTGTGTCAGAAGCAAAGCTAATGGAAGACTTTGTTACTTGGTGACTTGGGTTTTCTGCAGTGAAACAGGATGGAGAGGGACCAGAGAGTGCTGAATGCCCAGCAGGGAAGCTGGGGGTGCTGTCCCTGTCTCCAGCAGTGCCACTCTCAGCTGCTGCTGTAAACCCAGCTCAGTGGGGTCAGCTGGAAATAACCCCGGATCTCGCCAGAGCCAGCAGCCTGTCTGGGCTCTGTCTGGGGCTGCTGCAGACGTGTCTGGTGCCTGGCAGGGCCTCCCCTGTCAGCTGCTATTCCTGACACCACCACCATGCACCCCGGGGCTGCCAGCTGGGACAGGGGCGTTCATCAAGGCAGAAAACCTCAGCAAATCAGCTACATTTGGTTTCTTTGGTGGTCATAGCCAAAGTGAACATAAAAACTGCCCCCCAGCATTTGGAGCTGTTTCCTTTCCCCTTTGCCTGCACTGTGATGCTGCCTCTCAGGCTGCCAGGCCACTTCCAAAATGAGTGAGCAGCTCTGATGGAGAAACCATTGTCTCTAATGCTGTCTCTCCAGCAGCTCTTCCTGAGCTGGGGGATTTAAGATGAATTCCACTTGGCCAAGGAGGGAGCAGGGCAGTGCATGGAGCTGGCTCCATCCATGGGTAACTCGATTTCCAGCTTGTGGTCAGGATCTGGTAACTCATCCATCATCCCCTGCTGCAGCAGGGCAGTGCTGCAGTCCTTGGGGTACAACTTGTGAAGGAAAACACATGTCTGGCTCTGGGCAGCCTCACTCCCACCATCACTAAAATGCAAGTGAAGGCTGGGATTTCAGTAAGTTTTTGGCTTTATTGGATGGGCTTTGAGGGTAAAAACACTGGCGTAAAATCTGGCTGGCCTTGTTTTAATTTGTGTTTTTTAATGGTGTGTGCTTGTTTTATGTTTACAGAGGGATTCTGTTTGTTGGAGACCAGGGAGTCCCATGGGCTCTGTGTGTGAGGGGGAGGCTCTGCTAGTGCCTGGCTCTGGTTTCTTTCTCTCTCAGACACACACACAGCACTGTGCCCATAGGGCAATCAGGCTCAGGAGCTTTCAGAAAATCGAATTTTGAAGGATTCTGGGAATTTGACCTTGTATATTTGAAGAACTTTGGGGATTTTCTGAGTTTTAGGCTTTATTTTCATGGATGTTTGATTCTCTTGGCAATTTTGAGCAGGGAAAGGCTATGGATTAACTGCAGACCTTTTGCATCCAGGTGCAAAATCCAGGACCTTTTGTGTTCAGGTCTTCTCCAAAAGTTTTCCTTTTCTGTGATAGTTCTTAGAGTCCTACAATGCCCTCTGTGTGGTCTGAAGGGAACCCTAGAGACAGCAGGCTGTGGTAAACAGGAATTTGGAGCATGGAGGATATGGGAGAATTCTGCTAATGCCTGATAATGCAGCATCACTTCTCAGCAGTCCTGGTGAGAAGGCTGAGCTCAAGGCCAGGCTGGGCTCAGGGCTGCAAATGACATCTCCTGATCACGGATACTTTGCAATTTGAAGAAAGTTCTAAAGTTTCCAAAAGCAGCATTTCCACTGCCTTCCTGACCCAAAAGCTGATGCAGCAGTGTTGAGGAGGGGGAGCTGGCACAGACCCATCTCAGCACAGGGAGAGGCACCTGCAGGGAGCTCATCTGGAGCTGTTGGTGCCAGGAGCAGGGAAATCACACCTGCTCCCGTGGGAGGCTGCCTCAGAGTGTGCAGGCTGGAGGAGGTGTTGGTGCAGTCACCCTGAGCTTGTGCTTGGGGCAGCTTTGCACCCCAAGGCAGAGAGCAGCAGGCAGGGCAGCACTTGTGCCACGGTGTGATTTCATCTGTCCCTTGGGGAAAGCTGGGCTTCTTTGGATGGGAAAGCAGAGGGAGAGTGTGGAATTTTGATCTCTTCCCTTTCCAAATCCATGCTCTAAGCCAGATTTTAAAATCCTGACCCTACAGATGCTCCTTGTTCATGGTTAAAATACTTCTGTATTTCACATTGCTGAGCCCCAGCAATAGGCTTATTGTGGAACAGCCTGAAAGAAACTGAGATTCCATCAGGAATGGAAGATGCAGCTGGGCCATTTCACAGTGATCTCAGTGGGGTTTGGACCAGTTTTCCTTTCACACTTTGTATTCTCTCCTTCTGAGTAACTGATGTGCTCAAGAAATGTGTTCTCTGTGTATCACATAATGAAAGGTGTAGCTCTAAACAAGGTTGGCTGACCTCTCCTTGTATTGCCTGGGGTGACCTGCAGGCAATCACAGGCTGTGCCCATGCTCCAGGAGACATCCTGATGGGAACAGGAATCATCCAAGCAAAGCATGTTCTGGATCTCCTGTGGCTTTGTGGATGGTGAAGGCATTTCACACTAATACCCAGCCGACTTCCCCAGCTTCCTTTTATCAGAGAAAGCAGAGATGCACTTTCCTTCCTTGGAAATTCCCTGTACAACATTCATTGCAAGTTTATCTTGCTTCTCTTTATGTCCTCTTCCCAGCAGGCCAGCCTTAACCTCCTGTGGGGGGAGAGAAGAGGAAATGGAGTGAATGGGGCAGGGGCCTGAGATCACAACACTGCCAGGTGTGAAACAGGAGGATGTGTGTGTGGAGCCTGGCTGAGCAATTGAGGTTTAAACAAGAAGAAGATGAGCCAGAGGCAAAATAAAGATTACCCAGGAGAGTTACAAAGCAATCTGCTCCCCACCAAGGCCACTCACCTTGCTGAAAGAGTCCTCAAACAGGACACTGTCCCCCTGGGTGTGCATGACAGGAGCTGAGATGGCGTGTTCCAAGTCATAACCAAACCAGAGCTTGTTTATAATTGCCTGCAATTAAATAAAACAAATCCCACACTGCCCAGCTGGACATGGAACCTGGGCTGTCCCAGCCAGGCTGCACTGAGCCAGACCCACAGTCCTGCCAGCCTGGTGTCCTCCTTCTGTGGAGACTTTTGGGGCAAGTAAAAGAACAGGATGAGCCTGTAATACTTCCCAGAATGCTTTCCCTGGACAACAGTCTCAACTTTTAGTGACTTCTAAATTGCAAATTAACAAAAGCACCGAGGAGTCAAGACCCAAGGAGAGGTGAGTAGGGACTGACCGTGGTTAGAAATCTGGGAGGGCTGGAAAATCTGGCAGCTTGCTGTGGGTTTCACTTACCATGGTGGTGGCACTGATAATCCAGCTGCCCCCAGCTCCTCCAATCACCAGCATGTCTCCTGACTTGGAGAGGAGGATGGAAGGCACCATTGCTGAGGGAGGCTTCTCTCCTAGAGCAGAAGCACAGATATTATTCTCTCCATGTGGCTCTGAACAGGGTAGGAGGAACACAGGTTCTTCTACCTTGCCTTTCTTTTGTCTCCCATACAAAAAAAGCTGCTCCTTCCTCAAGATGCTCAAGATTTCCAGAAAATTTTTCTTGTACTGAAAGCCCATCTCCCAAAAAACTATGACCTTTCTGGCACAAGCTAAACAAGCTTCTCTTGATGCAGGACAGGGCATCCTACAAGTATTCAGGACTTGCTGCAGCTCATCCAACCAGATGAGGAGCCCTTAGCAGAAATCCTGCCCCAGCTGCACTGGTGTCCTCTCCCAGCAGGGACGGCTGATGGCACAGAGCCGTGTCTGCACCAACAGAGCTCTCAGAGCTCAGTGCAAGCCTGCACAGCTCTGTACTCAGAATCAGACATGAGCCTAAAATATCACCAGGCTTCTTTTAGCAGTAGTTTCTCCACTTCTCCCCTTCCCATCAGCCAGTGATCAGCTTCAGCATTTTTTTAAACCTCTGATTTCTCTGGCTAGAAACCAAAACTCCTGTATTTCCATACAAGGAGAAATGTGAGTAGACACAGACACACTACAGGGCTTTATCCTCTTTTAGTCTGAAACAAACTTGCTCTCATCCAGATCTAGGAAAGGAGAGTGTAAATTTACAGGTGTAAGTTTACAGATTGTCCCTGCCTGTGGTGGTGCTCACAGGGGTCCAGGATGAGGGAAGAGATGAGGATCTGACTCCATGTTTCAGAAGTCTGGTCTATTATTTTATGATATATACATAATATTAAAATGATATATTAAAACTATACTAAAAGAATAGAAGAAAGGATTTCATCAGAAGGCTTGAAAGCAAAGGAAAGGAAATGGAAATGATAATAAAATCTTGTGACTCTCAGACAATCCAAGCCAGCTGACTGTGATTGGCCATTAATTAGAAATAACCAGAGAGACCAATCACAGATCCCCCTGTTGCATTCCACAGCAGCAGATAATCAATGTTTACATTTTGTTCCTGAGGCCTTTCAGCTTCTCAGGAGGAAAAATCCTAAGGAAAGGATTTTCCATAAAAGATGTCTGTGACACCTGCCCACTCGCACACAGCCTGTGTGTCCACCCCCTGGCCCTGTGCTTTATTCTGAGGATGAGGATGCTCACCTGGTTTAATGCTTCTGTTTGCTATGCAGAAGTCAGCAAGTTCATTATTTAAAATGATCCCAGTTTGGTTGGAATACACAAGGGAGCCAAACCTGCAGGGAGGAAAGATGAAGCCTTTTAGTGCCCAGGGTTCTTCTGCTGTGGATGACATTTACTGCACATGGCACCCTGTGGGTAACTTCTGTCTCCTCCCAGCCTGCAAGTGTCCCAGTGAGGGTGTCCAAAGGGAATTTGTGCTGCTGCTGGTGACAGAGAGAAGTTCCCTGCTACTGGTGCCACAGAAAGTCAGCAAGAGCCTCAGCAAGCTCTGGCATCCTCCTGAATTATGGCAGCCCTTGGAGCTGATGCTCATGGATCTTTGCTGTCACATGAAAAAGACACTCCTGAGACAGAGTAGAAATTCTCCAGAGTAGAAATCCATTTCGATTTAGGTGAAATGTACATCTTTGAGTCTGTGGTTAGAAAACATGGCTATGTAGCCTGACTGCAAAGCCTAGGCTCAGGGAAACTGCTTCAGTGAAGGACAGAGATAAGGGAGGGAAACAGAACATGATAAAGAGAGACAGAGAGACTGCTGTGAGAGCAGGTCAACCTGACCTGGGAATTCTTTCTGGTAAAGAAGAACTAGCTGCTAATGTCACATGAATTCATAAAAATGAATATGTATGAACCTATTGCGAAATTGTATGTATATGTATCTGAGAGGGGTGATAAAACCTCTGATCTTGGCCTTATCACCCAGCAATGCAATGCAGGATAGTCCGATAACTCCAAGCTCAGTGATTTCAGCTCTTTAATGATTCTCAGCTCTCCCAGGATTTCAGCTCTTGGCTTGCTAGGTAGGGAGCCCTTGGCTGAGGCTGCAGCAGATGTGAGAGAGGAGAAGGAGAGGTCCTGGCAGTTCCACAGTGATGGTTTATTGGGGAGTCTGTGAAAGGTTCCAGCAACAGCTCTTCTTCTCCTGAATGGGCTAAAACAGCCCCTTTTTATAGGGTATAGGGGGATCCAAACTTGTCCAATAGTAAGGGTTAGGCGAAAAGTGACCTATGGGGTTACAGGGATAAGCTATGGGGTAAGAGGGGTAGAAGACAGGAGCTTATTTTGCCATCTCATCATAACTCAGCAGTTCCTACTGTTAAGTCTCAATCCTCCATGGAGCTCTCAGAAGCTCTATGGAGTCTGCTACAGAGGGGGACAAAAAGGGACCTGAAGTTCCCAGAGGTACTGCATGTCTTTTAAGGAGAGTCATCTCCACATGCATCCAGCGCTGTAATAAACATACCGGCTTCACAACTTCCACAAAGTTGTGTAGATTCTGGCTCTCTCCAGCCCCAGCTCAGAAGCTGCCTAAACCAGTGAAGCCCAGAGGTTTTGCTTTGCCAGCCAGCCCTCCCAGCTCCCCAGGCTGTGTGAGCATCCCCAGCCCGGTTACTCACGGGTAGTTGATGGTGCTGGTGGCCGACACAGCGCTGCCGTCTGCAGCCAGCACGGAGATGTGGCTCGTGCCCAGGCTCCTGTGCTGCTCCCTGAGGAGGGGCTCCAGCAGGCTGTAGTGGCTCAGCTGGTGGTCACCACGAGCATCTATCCTCTGCCTGGCAGTCTCAGCAAACTGCTCAGACAGCAGGGTCTCCACAGGCACCTGCCAGCACAGCAAGGACACTGAGCTGGGCACCAAAGCACGGGCCTGTCCTTGGGCTCAGCAACTGAGCCCCAAGTCAGAGCTTGGGGTGGCAGCATTCAGCCCCAGGCTGCTCTCATCCCAGAAAATGGGCCAAGCTCAGCACCAGGGCACCTCAACCTGTGCACAGCCTTTGTCAGGCAAGTGAGTGCCAGCCTGCAGCTGAAGCTGCAGAGTAACAGCCTGATCCTGATCCTGATCCTGATCCTGATCCTGATCCTGATCCTGCCTTGCCTTGGCAAAATCAGCTGCACTGCTCTTCAGCAGAAGCTCCAAGGATTTTCTTTCCTTCCAGGCTGCAAAGGAGTGTAAGAGCATCAGGGGGTAGGAAAGTTGGGATGGATGGACAGAGATGAGAGATCTCTGAGCCAGGTCAGGAACTTGGGGTTCATTGCA